TGATAATTATTTTCTTTCAATTTTTTGCAGGGAAGCAATCGAAAAGGTTAGAAGAACAATGCCAATAGAGCCACTGGCAGTCCTCTCTTCATTGGTAACACAATCACACTATGAATGGGCATTTGAATATGGATTATTGTTAGTACAAGTGGAAGAACAAAAATGAGATATTAAAAAAGAGATTTCGGTCTTCTACCCAATGGAGTACACAAAATCTTAGCTCAAACTAAGCAATCTTCATGTTGAGATAGATGAAAAAACAGAAATAGAACTTATTTCTGACTTTAGCCCCATTATCCTTTGACTACTACGTAAATGTTTCTGTACAAGATTTAGATACCATTTTCTATACTTTTGAAAGTACTTCTGTTATTTTTTTTTTTTTTTTTGAAATCAAACATGTGTACCTATTATTTNCTACGTAAATGTTTCTGTACAAGATTTAGATACCATTTTCTATACTTTTGAAAGTACTTCTGTTATTTTTTTTTTTATTTTTGAAATCAAACATGTGTACCTATTATTTTACAAAAGTGATCTAGTTGCGTCTTAGTACCTAATTGATAAATTATACATGTTTGTATACATATGGTACTGTGCATATGATTAAACTAGGTGGAAGATGCCATGTTTGGACAATGGAAAATACAACATTGTCTAAAAAATACTTTAAAAAGTGCTACAGAACGGAAAAATGACAAATACTAGCCTTGTTTCATACGCCATTTAAGCAAGAAAAATGTTTTAAAGCCTCCTAACTGCTTTGCTGTGTGATAGATTTTTCTAAACTGTCCAAAATTTGGTGTCTCTGTGATCTGATGCTGTAATGAAACTTGGTTAATATGTGAGGGATCTAATTAAAAGACAGAAATTGCTGAAGAAAAACAGCCAAAACTCAGATTGATACCCATCCATGCACATCATCAACTAGGTGGATATTCTGTGGAGGCATAAAATGTCCTTCATTTCTAAGTTTGTATCAGAAGCTTGGAAAGTAACGATGGATGCTTTGGAGATATCAAATGTCCTTTATGACTTGCATAATATGCTTGAGAATTCTTTGGAGTGGTAGCCACTTCATCATCTTTTGCAAAGATGTGCATGTGTAACTTTATTTGAAGCGGAATCTCCTTTTATTGATGCTTGGAGTAGGTCAACTTGCTTGCATTTATTAATTCATATGTATACACCTATATACATATTTAGGGATGGCGTGTGTGTGTGTGAGATAGAGAGAGAGAGAGAGAGAGCACACACGTTTGAGACATAGGGGAGATGTGTGAATGAATCAGATTTTGATTAATCTGAAATTCATTTGAAAAATCTGATTTAATTATTCAATTCACGCCATTTTTATAATTAAAATCCGTTAAACATTAGATATTTGATCCGCTCATAAGAACTTAACTATATTTGATTTTAGCAAATCACAAAATGTCAACTTAATTTCGTGAAGTAATCATTAAATTTCATAACATAATAATGAATTAAGATTAGATTATATAATTAGATTGAATATTGATAAGTTCATGTTAAAATCTATGAAGTATGATATAACGATTTTAAATTTAAATTTGAATAAATTAAAAAATCAATCCATATTCTATCAGTCTTAGTCAAGTCTGGATCAGTATCAGATATGATCTAACAGATCTATTTGACAGACTTTTGCATGAGAGAGAGAGAGAGAGAGAGATCAGGTTCATTTAAGCTTGACCCCAGAACCAGAACAAAAGAAGCTTGACCCCATGAACTACTACCCCCGGGTTGAGGTTTGGCCCCCCAAAAGCCACTTTCCCTACCTGGTTGCTTTTTGATAATAGACATGCCATGTAGAAGAGGTGGGCAAAATGGCTTATACCCACTTAATCATTTGGCCCTACGACAAAACATTTCCTCCAGGTACAGAGGTACTGGATAAGGCAATCATTGAAACAGTAGTAAGGGACACTTGAGGGCTACCCATTGATGATGTTTCTGACCCGTTCAAAGTTAGGTTCACCTACATATGATAACCAAGATAAATATTTTTGTAACGTATCTTCATTTTTCAATCAATAAAATTTAACATCGCAGTCGCTTTGCCAAACTTTTAATTTTATAGATTACATCGTTATCTTATAATAATTCGTATTTGAGAGTATAGTATAATATGAATAGTTTTGAAATGGATATTAGAGATCATTGAAAGACTCTATTTGAGATTGTCGTATCAACTTATTAAAATTTATTTTATTTTATATTATATAGATTCTTCCATAATTATCTTCGCTTCATGTTTTGATATGGGCATCTGCCTTTTAAATTTGATATGGTAACAAATTTGTTAGGATATGTTTTGTAATATTTCAATACATTTACATAATTATTTCAAAATATTTTATGGTATTTTAAGATACTTTGATATAATTCGATCAATATTTTAGAAAAAATAATTCGTAAATTTTTTATTTTTTTATTATATTTCTAAAATATATCGAAATATTTTCGTTTCCTAAGTGACTGAAACACTCTCTTACATTGTAACTCATAATTTTTGTAATTACCCGCAAAGCATATGCATAATTTTTTTTTTTTAGGGTGATTGCTAGCTCAATCCGTTGCTCTTTGCTCATTCGATTAGCCGCAGGGCAACCAAGGATACTTTCTACATAAAAATTTGATCTCATCCGAACAACCATGAAATCATGGCATGTTACATATTTGGGGTAACTCGATCTCGAAGGCACGGTTTAATGTGAATTGTTTTGAGAGAAATGTTGATAACTGTTAGATAAATCTATTTAAAATTATCAAATAAATTTATTGAAGTCTGTGTTATTTATCTCATAAATATTCAAGATTGAAAGTGACAATTGATCGAGGGATCCTAAGGTGGGTTAGGCAATTAGGAGTTGAGAACATGACTTTTTTTCTTTGTAGTTTTCCTAATAAATTAAACAATCTTGATCCTTAAACTTTCTCGATAAAAAATTTTCTATCATTTGTCAAGTCTTATCATTTTTCAGACAAAAGAAAAAGTCTATATCATGGGCCAAAAGGGGTCATCGGTATACACTTGAAATGAAAAATGAAAATGAAAGGTTAACTACTTGGAAGACGCATACACTTCCCGTCTATTCTGTTTTTTTTCAACCACAACGTGACGTGTGTAAAATTTTATTCGTTTATCTTATTTTATTATTTTTATTACAAATAATTTAAACAAATCTATGCTTTAAATAATTTATTTTATTGGTTCCAAGTACCAGGTCCAACTCTCTGGTGCTAACCTCTTTGGATAATACACCAGAATGAGTCCACAGCTGGTTACTTTTCTTGACAATGACGAATTAGTTTCTCTCCTTTACCCTTAAACCCTCGACTACATTCAGCCACCAGGGAGTATAAGCTTCACCAAGTTAAGGACACACATTTGATTTATTCTTAAAGAATAAACTTCAGATATCTGTAATCACGTGTTAACTAAAAATATTAGTTGATTCGAACGTAAAACATCCAAACTTACTGTTCATATTAAACCAACAAAACACAATTGGGATATATCATATGGGTTATAATCTTCAAACTTGTGTTGGCTGTCTTTTTACTATTTTCTCTGCATGGTCCTTTGAAATTTAGTTACTAATTTTTATTTTTATTTTGCTTTTCAAATGTGTTTTCAAGTAACACTTACTTTTGAGTTTATACTTTTCTGTTTTATTTTCTTATTCAAACTTGCCCACTGTTTCTAATCTTAATCACATGTGTATAGTACAACATATGCACAAATGNACTTGAAATGAAAAATGAAAATGAAAGGTTAACTACTTGGAAGACGCATACACTTCCGGTCTATTCTGTTTTTTTTCAACCACAACGTGACGTGTGTAAAATATAATACACATATGTTGTACTATACACATATGTCCAACATATGCCGGTATATGTGCATATTTTGAGTTTATACTTTTGTGTATAGTACAACATATGCACAAATGCAATGTGTGCTATTTATTATATATCAAAATGCATCTATTGCTTTTGTACAATAATAATAATTAAACATACTTCCATGCTGTTTACCAAGTTATTTTTTCTTAAGCCATTACTTAAAAAAGCGTTATTAGTTGAAGAATTAAACCATGATGTTTAGTATTGTAATATGCCCAATATTAGAGTCTCAATTTAATATCTCATGTGACCTCGGAACTACAAAAAAAATAATAATAAATAAGAAAAATACTAAATTAACTTAAAAATTTGATTTGATGAATCCTTACAATTAAATAAATAGTAGTTCTCAATAAATATTAATAATAAATATAACAATTATATCATTAAATCAATTTTTTAAGTTTGTATAGCATTGTTCAATGTAATGTTTTTTCATTTTTTTATTTAGACCTATTCTAATTTATTTTATTAACTTAATTAATTACTATCATTAAATGGATAGTACCCTCATATATTAATTGGGGTCCATTGCATATCAAAAGATTGATTGGACGAGTAAATTAGGCCAGCAAATTTAACAGATACAATAATTGATAGATTTCGATTCCTTAGTGAAGGCCAATCGGCCTATATAGCCGCCAACGTTCCTAGCCATGGAATGTATCTGTGTCGGTTTGTTTGTTTATGTGTGTGTGTGTGTGAGAGAGAGAGAGAGAGAGAGAGAGGGGGGGGGGGGGGGGAAAGGGGGGTT